TTTATATCGACGCCTTGCTTCTCGATTAGTAGCTTAACGATATCAATATGTCCATTTTCTAGAGCCTGCGATAACGGCGTCCGACCTTTGGAGTCCTTCGAATTTACTTCGACGCCTACCATTTCGATCAGTAGTTGGACGATCTTAATATATCCACTTTCTGTAGCCCACGATAGCGGCGTCTCGCTATTAGACTCCTTCGAATTTAGGTCGATGCGCTTCAGAACGTCAATCCTCCTGAGCCGAACAGCGGTAGCGGTAGGAGATTCTTTTTTTCTTGAAGAACAGTCAAAGGGGTTAGCTTTAGGATGAGCAAGAAGGATATATGCTATCGTATCTTGCTTGTTTGACAAAGCGCTACTGAACAGGAGGCTGATTTCTGTCGTGGATATATTCGGCTCACTGTCTAAGAGGAGCCTGAAAATTGATTCATCTCCTTTTTTGGCTGCTGCGTGCATAGCCTCCTGATAAAGTTTTGGATCCGGCTTTTTGGGAATTTCGATGAACTGCTCCAACCATTTCTCAACCTCATTTATGGAACCAGCGCGGATTGCTTGCTTAATATTAATATCTTTCGGATCCTGTGTTATCGGAAATCCCGACTCGTATTGTCGTGCCTCGTGAAAATCTGTCAGATGCCGATTCAAATCTCTGTTTGACTGAAAACCTAAGGTTCCGTAAAGGCACCCATGATAGGTACAATAGAATGACCGCTCGTGCTTTTGAAGATGTTGATGACGGGCTTCTTTAGTGGAGAAGCCGTCGGTGAAATTTTTGCAGCTGAGGCGGGGGCACTTGAAGAGGTCTGGACCGTAGAAAGTCATAAAGCTGCGTTCCAGGACGCCATTTCCATTCGATGAAGCGTATGTTTCTTCTAGAACTATCCTCACTTTGGATATCCGCTCAATTAATTGCAAAGATTCGGAATTAGTAATACCGGCGCCGTAAGTTTTCTGCAATCTCTTCCAAGTGAGTGCAGCCCTCCTAAGTTGGTTACCAAACTCGTATGACGTAAATTGCGCGAATTTTGAATTTGTTTCACTTGGCACAGCAGCTTGATATTCTGCCTTTGACCAGAAGTTTTCCAAGAAGTCTTGAATTAGGCTCTCCATAGAGGCAACTGACTCCGGGTGACTACTTCCGGGTATCCACTTTTCCAAATGGTCAACCCAGTGTAAAGCAGCATACTCGAGGAATGAATAGTAACCCTTCAAAACGAAGTCTTTGATCTCCGACTCAGGTATGCTCCCTTGGAAACATCGAAAGTTTAGGTACCCAAGACAAAGTCGGATTAGTTCGAATTCAACTGAAGCGAGGTTTATATACTTTTGCTTTATAAGGAAGCTATTCTTGATGTTAGCAGCTCGAACATGTTGACGAAGAGTGCTCTACGCTGTAGCTTACAAGCGAGCGGTGAGGTGGACCAGCTCAACCGAACCATCTAAATGCTGCTCGACTAAAGACCCGCAAAGGGCCTTTGAACTCACTCGCAATTTTCGCTCCTCGAGATCAACATCCTTGGCTTCGAGGTTGATTGATACTGCCCCCTGGATCTCGCGCCACTTTAGAGGGCGTTTTGCGCAAACAAGCCAGCCGAGTAACCGTTGAGCATCTTCTTTTGTCGATGGATCCCCCAGAATACGATCAACTATCCGGGCATATCTAATTCAAACTAACTTAGTAGGCACTCAGTCTGACGGAGATGGGGGCATAACATACGCATCTTCTAAACCACGGGGAAACCTATTTGGCTCAAGTTCCTTGTTGAGGTTCTCCCTCCTCGTTTGACTAAAGAAGTTTTCCATCACTAATCTTGCGAAGAGGAACATACCTAGTTCAAGATTGTTTGTCAGCATTTACCATCTAGAATGAATGAGTAATGGCTACTTTACCATCCGCCCTTTCAACCACTGTTTTTAGGATGTCTTCTCTTTTGTCATCTAGCAAATCGAACTTTTTCTGTATCTTTTGGCTCCAGATAGTTGCGTAAGTTAGAATATCCAATCTCGTGTCTTCAGGCTTAATACTAATAGCTGGAATACCGGAAAGCAGATTCCCAACCTCTCCGTCATCCTGGCTGATGAACAAACATCTAATACTGTCGAATTCAGTATCGGGAAGAGCAGTAATGACTGATTTAAACCATAATATAATTGCCTTCTTCTCATTTGGATCGCATTCATCCAGACCATCAAGAACGATGTAGACCATTTCTGAGCTTTTCAGCGCTGTTTCGAGAAGTTCCTTCGTGAGCATAGGAGATTCTAGCACCACTTGTCCGCTTGTTGAGGCTTTCTCAAATAGATAAGGCAGTAGGGCCTCGTTCTGGCTCAATAGCTGAGCCAGGATTGCCCTTGAAACGGCGTTGAAGGTGCTTCTTTGGGCATCTTTGTATTTGCAGTAAAAGAAGCCGAGAGTCATAGCATGAGTCGACCGCTGTTTCAGTAATTCTTCAATTATGAGAGATGCAAGAACCGTTTTACCTGATAAATATAAGACCGTCAGTCAGTCAAGTTTGATCTAATTGAATGTGAGCTTCAAAGGAATCCTTGAACTAACCTGCTCCAGGTCTACCGTTAATCCATAGCAAGGGCGCTGAACACAATTCGGGATTGAACCAGTTTCGTATGTGGTTGTTCTCGATGAGCCAACGACCACTACCAGGATTCTGTTTACGTGTAGTTACGCCCCTCTCCTGGTCAACGTCTGTGCTGACTGCGGATAACCAATTCTGCACGGCGATGCGTCTCTTTCTTTCTTCCTCTTCTTTATGCCTCTGAAATTCAGCCTCCGCTGCCGCTCGTCCCATTTCCATCTGATGGAACAGCTGCTCGAACTCGAGTAAGTTCGCTTGGCTTTCAACAAGTCGTCCGTGCCGTTGTATGTTCGCCAATAGTCCCGAGAACTCGGTTCGAAATGTTTTCCACGTAGCGTGGAAAAGTTGTTGCCATGCTGTAGGATATTTAGGTTGGGTAACTAGTCTGGGCTTCTTAATCAACTTACTTCGCTGGCGAAAATATTTTAGCGCTTTCTTGTGAAACTCGAGGACATCATTGTAGATTAGTGCTAATACCTTACGCATGTTTGGGTTACGCTGGAAAAACGCTTGGTATTGAGATAATAGTGGCAGACTTTCCCCAATCTGTTGGTAAGCGTCAAGCAACGAGTCAAATGCCTCGGTATAGGCACTAGCAACCTAAGAGGAATTAGTCAATATAAGTGACTCAATGAGAAGGAAGAATAATGCCTGAAGTAGAAATTTTGCAGGGCCCTAAAGTAGAGGTTAGCATCATGCATAAATAAAAGTTGAACATGAATCTTATATACCCAAATAAAACCGACAATTTCCGATGTATTGACGAAGACTTCAATCACTTTGCCGTACTGCTCCATTGCCTCGAGAAAACACCTTAGCCGAGCAAGATTTCGCATCTTCTTCCCCGAACCCTGTAGGTTCTGAATGGCAGCAGCAGTAGTCTTGAAATCTTCGAGAGTAGAAAATCTAAAGTCGTTTTTCTGCTCTTCAGTGAGAGTGTCTACGAAGCTCTTTAGACTAAGGCTGAACTCGCCTATTTCCGACTGGTTACAGGCCATGCTGACAATAGATCTCGGGGGATCGAGCAGTTATCGGTGCTATAGTATTCTTAGAGCGAGTGAATGCTGGCCCGCGACGGGATTTTTTCGAGCGGGTGCTTTATGAGACGTTCTCTGTCTCAAAAAGTGTCCATGTTGAAATAAACGGACTCGGCCATTCTCAGATAGTAGGCTGTAGCTCCGCCACAGCCATCAGCTTTGCTCAGCCACAACCACTAGATTTACAGTTACTCCGCCACCACGCAACAACAAGGCGGACTGCTGCAATGATGCCTCCCTTGCAGGCATTTATCTGTCAGGCTCCCTGCGGGGATGGGTCTCTTGCTGTCGCTTCTTCTTGCATCGCTACTATTTCTCATACGAATTCACCTGTGGTGGTCGTTTATTGTGAGACCTAGATCCTGTCTTCTACATTCCCGTAGCTAGAGAGATTAGCTCACGATGGCCCTAAAACGACCATTGTCTGTTGACAGTGACCCAGATACCAGTGACCCAGATACGTGTGACATTGGCAAACGACAAGCCCTTGAGCTCAACCCGCCGAAATATTTTTCAAAGTAAGTTCAAGTTCCTTTTGGATGTAAACCGTTTCGGTCAGAAAGCTACAATATCTCCTGATTCCAATTGACTTAGTAAACTTCATAAAGTAGCTCACTAATAACTTAACGGCGAAATAGCACCATGCTCACTACACAACTACATTACAATCAAAACACCTCTAGTGCCAATCCTCTCTCAGTTTACGGAACCCCTGCCGTCACCGTAGTCGATTATGATAAAGACATCGATATGGAACATGTTAAAGACATTGAGGCACAGTGTTCATCCCATAAAAGCTTCACCGTTTCTCCGTCAGATACGCACGCTGTCATACCGGCCTCTGCAGTTTATTTCACTCACCAGAGCCATGAGGTCTGCTTTGGTATGGTGCGTAGCAAATTCTGAGCTAGTCATAAACCATTATTCTTACGGACTTTGCAGATCTGTGATGTCGAAGCTCAATTCCTTAACAATCCACACATTTTTGATGACTCACGTCTCATTAATGAACGGGGAGATAATCAACATCATTGCCAGCTGTGGGTTATTCCCCGAAATACCTTCTTTGTATTGCAATCTTTCGCAAAATCAGATGTTGGGGTCTTGAACACAGCCATTTCGCATTGTCTCCAAGAACTGTCAGGGAATACCTCCATTCGTTATGAAGCCCTTTTAGACTCTAATGCATGGAAGGAAGCAATAAGAACTTGGAGACAAACTGGGAACAGAGGGAGGTTTCTTACCGATATCAATGTATATGGACCCAGGGATGCTACAGAAGCGGTCGGCAAGGTGTTCTCCAAAGCTAGATTGTATTTCCAGCATCCTTATCGTTGCAACGGCTATAACAAGTATGATAACCCGCATTATCTCAGCTTCTCGAACATAGCAATCCCCGAATCTCCTATCGTTAAGTCAGGGCGCACCTTAGTATATCAAACCGAACGACCCTCAAAATGTAAAATCTCGGAAGCCTTTGAAAATCTTGACCAACAAGAGTACGTACGACAAGCCAATATCGATTCTCGAGTCCGGACCCTGTTACTGAGGTTTGTCCTTCCCTGCTACTCTCTACTCCCTGGATATGACCTTGTTCTGACCTCTACAACCAAGCCATCAGAAAGAAGGCGCCGATTTCATAATGCAACGAGAGGCAGGAATTGTTCCCTCTGCCTTGTCACTTTGGAAACTCAATCAAAAAACATCAACTCGCTCCTTGTAAGTTTTTTTGGACCACTATATACCTGCCAACGCGGTGCTCAACAGTTCACTTTTGGCCAGAAGGCTAACTCACAGCAACATGCAGTTATGAACATTTGATCACCGGCTCCAAACGAGAAGTTGTTCCCGACAGTAATTTGGGAGGTATTATTTCCGATGAGATGGGGATGGGAAAGTCTTTGACAATGCTGTCGGCCATTGTGGGCTCTCTCGCCACCGCCCATTCATTTGCGCAATCGGGGGGGAGGAACCTAACGTCTAAGAGTAATCAAAAGCTCGCTTCTAAGGCAACTCTGATCCTTGTTCCTTCTGCTTGTGAGTAGTTGCTCATCACTCTTGAGCTTGTGTCGGCTTGTATCCTCAGGGCTAATTTTGGCACGAAATGTAGTGGTTTTAGATGGGTGGGTTGAAGAGATCCAAACGTGTGACAACGTTTTCCGCATTATAAAACTGTAACTAATTGTAATGTCAGGCATATCTTCCCGAATACTATAAACATATACAAATATCACGGTCCCAAGCGGGAATCGGATTTATTAAAACTTCTAGACTTTGATGTCATCCTTACGACGTATGCTACCGTGGCCGCAGAGTTTCGTCGGTGTAGCAATATTCTCCATAGCATAAATTGGTTCAGAATAGTGCTTGATGAGGGTAGGTTTGGCGATTCGCTCTTCTCCACTCCAAATATTTTAGTTGCCTATTGGAATACTGACATAAAGCAATATAGCCCATGTAATCCGCCACCAAAGTACTGGACAATTCCGTGCTGTTTCAACATTGTCGTCCAAGATTCGATGGTGTTTGAGTGGGACACCGATCCAGAATTCCCTTGCAGACCTGGGAGCACTTGTCAAATTTCTCCGTGTTCCCTTATTGGAAACAGCTCCAGCATTTCGGAATTACATCATATCACCGATTGAAACAGGTAACGCCTGCGGCTTTTTACGTCTACGCTTGCTCCTTAAGTCGCTGTGCCTGCGGCGGACAAATGAGCGTCTTCAGTTACCTGAGCCGATCATACATGTCTGCCGGTTGAACTTGGCTAGCGCTGAAGATGCCGCATATACGCTGATCGGAGACACGTACCGGCAAGAAATTGATAAAGCCGTTAGCGGGCAGAAGACCGTTGAAGCTTACAATAGTATTCTTCAAGCGCTTCTCCGCCTTCGATTACTCTGTAACCACGGCACATACCAACATCTCTCGCAGACATTCGGCGTCGCGTTGCCATCAGACACAGAGGAGGCATTAATGTTTCTCCAACAAAGCGATAACGCGTGTTGTGCATATTGCTCTTGTGATATAACTGTAATCGGGAAACCAAATGATCCACAGTCGGCGGAATTTACGGTTTGCTCACATCTAATCTGCTGCGAGTGCTTGCCACAATACGAAGCGGACCTGAAAGAAGCCAGAGTGGGGAAGAAAGCTCAATGTCCGCTTTGCGAAAAAGTGATTGTTGGAAGTTTCCTTGCATCGAAAGAGAAGAGGGGTCCCAAAAAAGCACCCCTCTGGTCCGTTTCACCACCTCCACTTGCATCCTTTGACGTAAATGGCGGCTATTCTACCAAATTATCTACACTCTTGCAGGATATTGAGAGTCAAGATCAGTCGGATAAAAGGTACCGTTTGTCCAATTCCATGCCGTTTCATATGTTTCTGAAACCACTAGCTAATACTATCTTGCACAGTATCGTCTTCTCTGCCTGGAAGAAGAGCTTAGATCTTGTGGCCTGCTTGTTTTCTATTAAGGCCATCCCATTCGCCATCGTTGATGGCTCGCTCCCTTTACCGGAAAGGCGCAAAGCGCTTTCAAGCTTCAAATCAGATCCAGATATCAAGGTGTTATTGATGACACTTGGGACCGGCGCTGTAGGGCATGTGCAACCCTCATCTTTCGACGTTCTTTAAATGGCCTCTGTTCTGCGGCCCTCGGAAATTGAAACCGATAGCTAATTTTTACTACAGTCTAAATATAACGATTGCGAGTCGCATCCATATCCTGGAACCGCAGTGGAACCCCGCTGTTGAGAGACAGGCTATCGGTCGGATTCTCCGACTTGGCCAGGACAAAAGAATTACCGTTATCCGTTACATCACGAATAGCACGGTCGAGGAGGTAATTTCTGCGGAGTGCTTCCTCGTAAATTAACAACTAATTATATCTTAGTATATCGAGTCTCGACAATTAAGAAAGCTTCAGATTGCTACGGTTGGGTGGGAGGAGCGAGGAGACGATGAAAACCAGAAACTAAAGGAACTCTCAGTATGTACATTATATAGTTTTAGTTTTACCTGTTAAGGAGTATAGGCTTATATATAGAATAGGTACTACGATCGGTTATATTAAGAACCTAATTCTTGCGAGTAGTAGATTAGTAGAGCTATTTTTATATATAGTTATTTATAGTTTTAAAGGTAGTATTAGGTTATTTATTAGGCCTATATCTAGTAAACTTAAAACTCTTTTAGAGTTTTAAGTTAGTCTTAAAGTACTTAGAAGACTTAATTTCTACTATAGAACTCTATATTAAAAATTTACTATATAAAACTAGACACTTAGAGCTATCTTTAGAACTAACTCTTTATTATAGGCTAAGCCTTTAGTTAAAGTAGTAAAGTCGTTTATATTATAAATAGTATCGTCTTTAGCCTTATAGTACTTCTAGGACTAATAGTCCTAGGACTAGGCGAGGTTATAGAAATTAAGTAATTTCTAGGACTACTATCTAGTAGTTAAATTTAGTTAAGAATAGTAATTACGTTATTAGCGAAAAGGCCCTAGTTTTAGATAGTATTATATAATAAGTAAGAGTTTAATAAGTTCGCTAGATTTACTATCGAACTTATTAAACTTATTAAACTTAGGTAGAGTAGAAAGTTCTATATAATAATTATAATTTCCTTAGATAGAAGCTTTATACTTAACTTACTATAGTAATAGTATATTATTAGTTTAACTTACTCTTATTATAATAAATAGATCTCTAAATCTATAAGTAATAATCTTACGCCTACTTCTTAATATACTAACCTTATAATACCTTAGTCTACTCTAAGTAAAATTAAATTATTATAAATAACTAGTTAGATTTATTTATCTAGTAACTAAAGACTTTATATAAATAAAGTATATAGTCTTATTTAGCTTAGTAAGATTACTAACTAATCTAAGCTCTATATAAATCTCTAGTTTTAAACTAGACTTCTTAGTCTTAGTTTTACTCTTTTTCTTCTAACTTAATTCTAGCTTCTCTATATAAAATCTTTAAATTCTTTTAACTAGTATACTAATAATCTTTACCTTCTCTTTATCTAATATAGTTATATTCTTTATATTAATAAGTATAGTAGTAGTAAGTTAAGTAGATCTATATATACTAAGCTTTTATAAAGAATTAAGAATAGTTAGTATATTAGTTATTTCGACCTCTAAAGAGACTAAAATAGTAGAAGTATAGAGTATAGTAAGAGTCGATTTCGAGAATAAGGTAATAGTAGAAGTTTTTATAGAGGTTTTTTAAAGAGTTTTATAATTAGAGAGAGGTTTTTAAATATAAGAGCTATAAATATTCTTATATATTCTCTAGATTTTCTTAGTACTCTAAGATTAGTTAGTTAGATTAAAAAAAAGAAAAGTAAAACTTACTAGAGTTACTAGAGACTATTTATTATTATTATTATTATCTACTAAAATATTATTAAGTAGATTTATAATAAAGCTAGTTAAATTAGTATAATAAAATATAGTTTTTAGAGTATAAATTATTACGTAGTATATAGGTAGAGTAGAGGTTTAGTATATTAAAATAAGTCTAACTTCTTAGGTTTAGAATAGCTAAGTATCTATATATATAGTCCTATACTTAGTACGTACTAGTAAGTAGCCTAAGCTACTCTCTTATAGTATACCTAAACTATATTATCTACGTAACTAACCTAGTCTACGATATACTCTCTAGGTAAGCTTAGAAACTATCTAAAGTAGTACTTACCTATTAAATGTAGCTTTAAGTTAGTATTATCTAGTAATTATATATTATAAGAACCTATAGAAGCTATCTAAATATAGCTAAATAGTAAAAACCTAAATACTTCTCGCTTAATATTATCTTCTAAAGAACTATCTATCTATCTAACTATACTTTACTATTCTTAGCCTTTTATATTTCTACTCTCTATAAGTATTAAAATAGTATATTTCTAAGCTTAGCTTTAGCTATTATACTTAGAAATATAATATTATATTGCTTACTAAACTTAACCGATTATAATTTATCTTATTATTCTTAAGTAAATAATATAAGCTTAGCTTCTAAAGAGGTAAGCTCCTAGAAGTATATAAGTAATACTTACTCTCTAGATTTTATCGAAATTAGCTTCTATTCTCTATTATTTCTACCTTCTATTTCTAGTTCTAATTAATTAATTAATTAATTAATCTTTACTATACTAAAGAGACGTTAAACTACTAAGTAACTCGCTACCGCTTATATAACTATTACGCGATATAATACTTACTATATCGCCGTTCCTTCTACTAGTTAGAATAAACTAGTTATACCTTCTATTCTAGAAGAAGATCTTAGCGCTTAAATTAAGTATAAAAACTATACTTCTTTAGAGCTACTAGAACTACTAGAGATTAAGCTTATCTCTACTTAGATAAACGTCGCCTTTAAAGCTAGTAACTACGAGGAGTACTATCGCCTTTTAGCGAGAAAGGAAGAGTTATTAGGTATTAGTATTAGTAGTAGTAGTAGTAGTAGTAATAGTCTAGAGAATAATTTTAATCTAGATCTTAGTAGTAGAGACTCTCTAAGTCTTTCGAGTTTATCGAGCTTATCTCCTATAAGTTTTTATACTTACTTTTATAGAACTAAGTAGCTAATTATTATAGTCTTCTACTCTAGTCTCTTCTCGTCTTACGACTATAGCTAAAGGTTAGAAACGTACTTATACTACTAAGTATAAGAAGCCTTACTCTAGTTATCTTTAGTCTCTCTTAAATAGTCGAATAACTAAAATTAGCTACTACTACTATAATTTAGATAGTAATTACTACTTCGCCTATATAGAGAGTTTATACTCTTACCGTCTAGTTCTAACTTATACTCGCTTCTATTATAAGAGCTTTATTATAGCCTATAGCTAGAGTCTTAAAAAAGACTTAGATAGAAAGCCTCTATACTCTACTTCTATATATTCTACTACTTATTTCTAACTTAAGCGTAGCTAATTAAGTATAGTATCTTACGAAATTTCGGGCCTCGGCTTATATAGCTTTAGAGGTTACTAGTATAGCCTAGAAGGAAATCGACTTACTTAAAAAGAGTAGTCTATCTACCCTTATATTAGCGAGAATAAAAGTAGTTTTAAATAATATAGTAATTAATCTTAAAGAGATTAATAGTCTTCTTTCGGAGAATATAAAGTCTATAAAGAAGTATAAATCCTCTTTATAGAGATACTTAAGATTATATCTCCGGCTTAGAAACTAAGAGTTACTCTTTAAGCTATACTTACTTACTTAGGTTCGACTTTCTTAGCTTTATTTCTATACTTAGTTAGAATAGTTAGCTAGTTATCTAGTATTCTAGTTCGAGGCTAGTCCCCTTAATATATTCTATTCTCTAGCTCGGCGTAGCTTAATATTAATTATTTTCTATCTCTATAACCTCTTTAAACTATCTTAATATTATAAGTAGCGTCGGCCTCGGCGCTATAATACTTCTAGGACTAAAGGTCCTAGGATTAGACGAGGTTACGAGAACTAAGTAGTTCTCGGGACCGCTATCTAATAGCTTAATTTAGTTAATATTAGCTATATTTAGGTTAGCGGATAGGCCCCGGTTTTAGGGTACTATTACGTAAGTAGCTAGGCCTAACTTTACGAGAGTTACGTAGGTAGCCGCTAGGTCGACTATATTAACTGTATTAACTACGTCGACTAGGTCGACTACGCCTATATAGATTATAAGGTAGAAAGTTCTATATAATAATTATAATTTTCTTAAATAAGAGCTTTATACTTAACTTACTATAGTAATAGTATATTATCTATTTAACTTACTCTTATTATAGTAATTAGATCTCTAAATCTATAAGTAATAATCTTACGCCTACTTCTTAATATACTAACCTTATAATAACTCTAGTCTACCTTGAGTAGAACTAAATTATTATAATTAGTTATATTTAGATTAGTAGATAGGCCCCGGTTTTAGGTAGTATTATATAATAAGTAAGAGTTTAATAAGTTCGCTAGGTTTACTATTAAACTCGTCGAACTTATTAAACTCGTTAGAACTTAGGTAGAGCGGAAAGTTCTATATAATAATTATAATTTTCTTAGATAAGAGCTTTATACTTAACTTACTATAGTAATAGTATATTATCTATTTAACTTACTCTTATTATAATAAATATACCTTTAAGTATATAATCTAATAATCTTATATATACTTACTTATATACTAACCCGATAAAACCTCTATTTATAGTATATAGAATAACCGAATTATTATACTTTAAGTATCTATTCTAAGTATACCTTAATTATTAATAATAGCTTTATCTAGTAAGAAGACTACTCTACTATCTAACGTTAGTCTAACCGCTAGTTATATTAACCTTACTTCTACTACTAACTTAATATAGAGAAGTAGTAAGAAATACAATAATATTAGTATACTAGATAACGACGAGAGAAATATTACTATTAAAAACGTAGTACTACTTAAGGTAGTACTATCTAAATAATATACTAGAGAATACTCGAAGTTAGAGACGTTTCTTATATAGACTAAACTTTACTTTGCCTTTAATAAAGACTAGTTTAGTAAAGAGAAGTATAAGGTTCTATAGGCCTTATCTTATCTTAAGAATACTACGTATCTTTAGATCTAACCTTTTATTAGAGACTACTTTAAATATAATAATAAGCCTACTAGTATAATAGTAATAACTCGAAAGATCTTTAGAGATTTTAGAAGTTTTAAGGTAGAGATACGACAAATATTTAGAGATATTAATACTAAGAGAACGGCTATACGTAAGCTATTAGCTCTTACCTAAATAGGCTTAGTAATTTACTATACTATAGAATTCTAACATTATAGAAATAAAACTAGATAGAATACTACGGCGCTACTCGAGATCTTCTAGTAAAGATTAAAATACTATCTCTAGAAAGAACTAGTACGCTAAGAATAAGTCTACTATAATATAGTAACTATAATCGAAGAGGTAGTTAAACTAGATAACCGCCTCTACAAGTTCTATAAGAAATAGAGAAAGCCCGACAACTACTATAAGGGTTACTATAGGCAACGTAGTAATACTAGGTAGTTAAATATAGCTTTTAAGAAAACTCTATAATAGAGATAGCTCTCTAATAAAGAAAGATAGCGACGCCGAGAGAAGAGACTTTATTATAAGTATAGGTAATCTAGTTACCTAGCTAGCTCTTACTATAAGGGCCCGAGAAAGTAGCTTAATACTATACGCTAGTTAGCGATAATATACTATATAGCTCGAACTATACTAACCTTAGTATACTCTAGTACTAATACCTTACCTCTCTATATAGAAGCTCGAGGCAATATACGGCTACTAGTAAACTAGAAATATTACC